ACACACACACACACACACATATATATATATATATATATATATATATATATATATATATATATATATATATATATATATATATATACATACATAGTGCATACACAGTATATGTAAAATATGTGCGTTTGAACACGAGTGGTAAATAGATTTAAATTTACCTCTGCTGAAACTCGACCTATGATGGTTCTTAGCCAGTCATAACGTGAGAATTTTGTTCAGTGTTCTTAAGTCAAATTCAAATGTGAAGTACCTGTTGATATTCTTAAAAAAATATTAAGTAAATAACACTATGTTTATGAAAAGGACTTTTGGTTTTAGAGTATGCAGACATCGAAGAATCATATATATTTGTATAAAAAAAATCCCTATCAATTTCATCAAATATATCAAATTCTCAAATGAGTCCTATCACAATCTCTTTAGTATAAGCGAGCAACACACACGACGCGCCTCATAAACAACCGGAACAACATCGCTTCTCTTTTCAATAAATAAAAGTTTAAGTATTTGCCTTAAGCTACCAATTGCCTCACGTTACCGCCTAGCATTCGGGTTTTTGTGTTCTTCAAGTTTTTCTTTGCATGAACTTGAATGTAATGTGTACCTGTTCCATACCGAAAACGTTATGCATTCACCACACAATTGGTAACCAGATTTTTTATTTTACTTATTTTGCTATTCCTCTTTTCTCTTCTGTTCACTAAAGATCGTTCTTAAATATCTTAAATATCTCAACTATCTTCTGGTGATGACACTTTGTTCTCAGGAATGCAATTAATCACTAGATAGAAGTGTTTCTCAAATCATTTCAAAACAAGACTACTTCATCTATCCTCTTGTACATGCATAATCATCATCATTATCATTATAATTTTCATTATCATTTTATCATTATTATCATTATTATTATTATTATTATTATTATTATTGTTATATTAATATTATCATTACTATTATTATTATCATCCTTACTATTACTTTTATCATTATTATGATTATCATAACTATTATCATTATCATTATTAATATTGTTACTATCATCATCATCATTATCCTTATTATTATCATTTTCATTATTATTATCATTATTATCATCATTATCAGTAGTAGATGTATTATTATTATTAACGTTACTGCTATTACTATTACCATCCTCATATCACAATATTACTATTATTATTATGTTCCTGTTGTCATTATCGATTAGTGGTAGTAATTATCAACAGTTAAGTTGTTTCATAATGTTACTCTTATTATTATTATAATTACACTGATCACCATCACCATCATCATTACAATTATTATGTGTATTTGAGTATGTCTGTGTGTGTGTGTGTGTGTGTGTGTGTGTGTGTGTGTGTGTGTGTGTGTGTGTGTGTGTGTGTGTGTTTGTGTGTGTGTGTGTGTGTGTGTGTGTGTTTGTGTGTGTGTGTGTGTGTGTGTGTGTGTGTGTGTGTGTGTGTGTGTGTGTGTGTGTGTGTGTGTGTGTGTGTACATATATATACACACACATATATAAACACACACATATGTAACTTACTTTCCCAAGAATCTCATTATTTCATCTAATTATTACAATAATCACCATTTTTCTTCTCTAGCTTATTATGTTATATTGATAAAATTAATGATAGATTATTAAACATGAATACAAATGTATCACACCAGAAACGACTATAAAAATGTATGATATTCGTAATAAAGCTGATGTAAAATAAGCTAAATAATGATTAAAGAAAAAATATACGTACGCAGTGAGATAGATAAACAAATATTAAATGAAAGTAATCTAGAATTATTAATAAAAGTGACACTATAAAAGAGATGAATTAATAAAGAGTAAATAAAAAAACAACGACTCATAAAATGGAACACCTTGTCTTGTAAAACGAAATTCTTACTTTGATGTAAAATGGAATAATAATAAGAAAAAAAAGCGTAAAAATTCTAAAAAGTGATTTTCCTGTACTGACACTTTATTCCTCAAAGTTTTCATCATTTATCCTACCCTTTCTCCCACACGAATCTTTCGAAGTTGCTCCGCTAACCTAATGATTTCGGGAAGAACACACAAAGAAAACGAGAAGCGAAATACAAACACAAAGTCAATCAACGGAAGTATGTGTTTCATTGCATCCTCTACAGTGACGTGGGCGCGGTATGTTGAACTGGATTGGGATCACACGGTGACATTCGCGCGTCTTGCGGACGGATGGGAGGAGGAGGAGGACGAGGAGGAGAAGGAGAGAAAGGGAAGATCGAAGATGTTGGAAGGGAGAAGGTGAGAGAATGGACGTTTGAGATTTGAAAGGTGAGGTATAGCAGGATGAGAGAGAACTTGAATGAGGGAGAATTTGGGAGGAGGAGGAGGAGGAGGATAAGAGAAAGCGAAAATCGAAGATGTTGGAAGGGAGAATGTTTGAGAATGGGCGTTTGAGATTTGAAAGGTGAGGTATAAGAAGACGAGAGAGAATTTGAATAAAGGAAAATTTGAGAGTGTGAAAGTTTGAGATTTGGAAATTGAGATATATGGGTAGGTTTAGCGAGTGAGATGCGACCGAAGAGGCACGGAACAGAAATATGAGATCTAATAGAGAGAATCTGAATATAAGGGAAATATAATTTAAAAAATGATAAAGGAGGAAGTATAATTTTTTTAAAATGAGATGAAAGAGAAAGAGGGAGAAATAAGAGAGAGAGAAAGAGGAAAAAAAGAATATTGAATGTAACATAAAGAGAAGGAATTTGATAGAATGAAAGGTACGAACATAAAGATTTGGTAAAGATGAAGAAAGAAAATTTTAGAGAATGAAAGAGGGAAACTAAAATATTTGACAAGAGGGAGACAAATAAACAGGAGAGATAAAAGAATATGAGAGAATTTGGAAAAATAGATTAAAGAAGAGAGTGAGATTTTGAAATATAAAAAGTTGGAGGAAAGAAAAAGCTTTTAAAAACCTAAAAGACGAGGAAAGAGGATCTGAGTAAATGGAAGTGAGTAGAGTAGAAATATTAAAAGAATAATAAGAATACAAAATTTATGAGGTGGGAAAGACAGAATTCTAAAGAAAAGAAGTTAGACACTGAAATAATCAAAACTGGAAAATAGGGAATTGGTAACGCAGACGAATACAGAAATCGGATGAAACAGAAACCGGCAAGAAATAAAGGTCTAGAATAAAAACAGAAAACAGACTTGATAAACAGAGGCCAAAGGAAAAGGAAGCAAATGACTTAAAAATCAATAAATCCCTCGCTGCCAACTTTTGGCCTATCAGACTTATTTTAGCCACGTTACCCCTCTAAAATCCGAGCTCCATACAAACACAAATAAAAAACAAAACAAAAAACAAAACAAAAAAAATCTAAAAAAACATAAGAACACATATGTAAACTCACCCAACCACAAATACTCAGAAAAAAAAACAAGGAAAAAACACATAAACACACAAAAATGTGCCGTTTTTTTCGGTTCACTTCCCACTGTCAATTTTCTCCGAGCTGTCAAACAAAATACGGAGCGGGAGATTTTCCTTGCCTGTCCCTACGTCATAGAGCCTTACGCAACCGTATTTTCGCTTTTCCGAATTCCGTTATGTTTATGTGTGTGTGTGCGTGTGTATGTATATAGATAGATAGATAGATTAGATAGATAGATAGATAGATAGATAGATAGATAGATAGATAGATTAGATAGATAGATAGATTAGATAGATAGATAGATAGATTAGATAGATAGATTAGATAGATAGATAGATAGATTTGATAGATTAGATAGATAGATAGATAGATTTGATAGATTAGATAGATAGATATAGATATATACATATATGTAATCTTCATTATTTCTAGTGTTTAATATTTTAATATATATTCTCAAATGTCTTCATAGATACACACACACACACACACACACACACACACACACACACACACACACATATATATATATATAGCACGAATAAGCAAAAACCAACCAGTTTCCGATCACATAAACACATGTACCTTTTTTCTACTGTACTTGTAAACATCCTATATCCAGCAGCCAATTGTCTCTAAATTGACCGTTGCTGAATGTGAGTATACATCGCATACTTAC